TTCCATATTTAGTTACACATTCTTGAAGAAAAAACGGCATCACCGTTTATGGCTTATGCTTGCACTTCTTGTCGGGCTACAAAGCAGCAAAACTTTGGAAAATGGCTTTTCCTTTTGGTCACTCCTTTACCTTTAGTAATTTTCGCATCGTCATTCAGCAAATTCACATTTTCTGTAATGTTCTCAAAGGCTGTCGGGAAAGTGATCTGTTCAGCATACGAATGTGAATTGGTGGGGCTTTCGTCCGGTGCAATTTTGCTCGGCTTCGTGTCTCTTGAGTAAGAATTCGAACCTCGAGGCCTGAAATACGATTTTTCATCTTATCAGACAAAATCAGGCAATACTAGGCTTTTGATATAAGGAAAAATACCTGGATTCATGACTGTCAGAGTTGTTTTTAGGTTCATACTCCTTTTTTCTTATTTGATCAGCTTCTAAGGAAATAAACAATTCTTCCTCTTTTTCATCGTCAAAAATTCTTGAATCTGCACTTTCAACATCGTGCTGCCCTTGTCTAGAGTGAATATTATTATTATTATTATTGTTATGCTCCCGTAATATTGAAATGGCCTTATCCAACGTCATCAGAGCTTCTTGAACTCTTGGGCTAATAATCCCGATTTTACGTACATTCCCCGAAGCAAACTGTTCTGTAATGCTGTTGGCCATCTGAAGATTTCTCCCCAATTCATTAGTAATCACAGCTTCGTTACTGTCTGTCTCAACTTCTTCTGTAATTTCAAGCTCCTCGATTTCACTCACTGATTTTCTCTCTCTAACTCTTAAATCCTCAGTTTCATGATTCTCTTCATTAGAATTGTTGTTGTTTTTGCATGCTTCGAGATTTTGTTCTTCGAACATTCCATTTGAGGTCAAAGGGGTGTTTTTCGAATAGAGAGCTTCCCGTACACGAATGTAAATTGGGTCATTTAGGGCCTCGAGAAATTTGTGGTCGCCTTTTGAAGCAGAAGCAACCTCCTGAAAGTGTGATAAACAAACTAGTATAAATAAATAAAACGAAAAGGTTAATAATCGCAAAAGTTACCCTCGAGGTTTAGTTTGATAACAAGAAGACCCATTTATTTTTCCAAATTGAAAAACTGACAAAGGTTCGATTAAACTTTTAAATACCCCTTTCCAGAGAGCAGTTTCGCAAGGCAAGAAGAAACCTCAAGGAGTTAAGGATAGAGTATCATTTTTATTTTTATTTTCTTTTTTGTTGAAGTTTTATGTAATTTGGCTAAACCTCCAGGATGGTTTTTGTGATTCTCTCGAAAAAAAATTGTAACATTCAAAAGATTGAAACTTACTTTTTTATAGAGCTTGAAACCACTTCCCACAAGCTGCCTCGAGATGAAATTAATGAATGCCGGAGGAATAAAATCCAATTTGATATCCATGTTTGCTATTGTCCTGCAGAAACATGAAACAAAGCAAACCCTAAAGTTACCGAACATTGAAAAGAAAAAACTGAAGAAACAAACTGACATAAATAATTGGAATTGCCATATTGTACAAAAAGCTCATAAAACATGACCATTTTTGTGTTTCACTTTAGTTTAAAACTCGGGTGGCCATATAAATTTGGAACTCCATAGACTTCGGAACATGTACAATAGTACAAGTCATGCAAAAACTAATGCACAATTGGACTAACAACGAATTACCAGCACAATTGGCGGATATATTTTAATAGAGGGAAATAATTACAAACAAGTGATATTAATATGAGTGATCATTGCATAACAACCAGCACAAAAGATCAAAACACAATACCTGAAATAGCTCCTATCTTCAGTCACTTTCTGTAAAGCAAAACCTCCAACTACATCTATTCTAACTACATCCTCTGCATCGGGTATCCCATCTCTCGTAAATCCATGTGTGCTTCTCTCGATGCTCTCCAAATCAGAAATCTGTTTTTTTTAAAGGAAAATAGTGATATTGTCTTTTAAATACTTTTCCATTTCAAATGAAAGAGCAACAAATAAATTAAAAAAAAAAAAAAAAGCAC